CAATTACATCATAATGTATATCAATAATGTAGATTCCATTTCTTTCTCTTTTTGTGCAGAATTTTTATCTCAAAATAAGGTAAGTTTTTACTTTAGTTTTTATTTATTATTTCTTGTAATGTTAGTTTATATTTTATAACATTATTTCATATATACTTATTCTTCTAGGACTTGGATTTTGCTTTGAATTTCAGCTGTTGATTGTTTGTAATATGACTAATAGAAATAAGCACAAATAAAAATCACAATGCTGCTAGATTCTGCACCAATTTTTTTTTTTGGGTGACAGCTGTCGATTATATAAGTAAAAAAAAAAAAACATAATCGACAGCCAATTGGCTATCGATTATATTGCTTAGTATTTTGCAATTTCCTTCGTACCATTTATAATCGACAATATTTCTGTCGATTAAAGACATATAATTGACAGAAAAAATTTTTGTCGATTATAATGATTTTCGACACGAGTTTATGCGGCAAACAGTGCTGTCGATTATGTCTGTCGATTATAGTTATAACCGACAAAAAACAACTTATAATTGACAATTTTTTCTGTCAATTATACCCGATTTTCTAGTAGTGGATGAATAGTAATAGTAAAAAAAAAAAAAGCTTTAAGGCTCTAATACCATGATAAAAAAATAAAGAAAAAAAATATAAAGATATATAAAGAAAGTAAAGAGTTTTTTTTTTTTTTTCATATATCTTTATATTTTTCTTTTCTTTATTTTTTCTATCAATATTTATGCATTGTAAGTATCTGTTTGATGAATTTGCATTTCAGATCTTTTATCCACCATGTCCAACAACTTCCATAGAACAAAAAAAGGAAGTTGATTCTCAACTAGAGCCAAATCATATAAAATGCTTGAATAAATCAGTCCTATATTGAAGATATATATTATTAACCGACCGGCCGCTGTTAGGCATGACTAATTTCAGAATTAGCTCAACGATAAAACATGCATCAAGGATCATAATTTCTAAAATGTCCTCCATGGGAATATTTAAAGATTCTGAATAACAATATAATTGCGAGCTTCTTCCAGCATATCCCTCATCACTGTTAGATATATTTCAATACCATCATTTTTCCGTTGAATAAGCATCTATAAAAATTGCAACTTGTGTGGTTCCATTTCCATCAAGTGATCTCTACCACGATGATAAGGACCGATAGAAATGATGCCAGGTTCAAAGGCTCTTTTATTTACCCGGCGGATTTGGCGAGGGACTTCGAGAATTTTCTTCGCTGGTGTCGAAGGCAAATTAGAGAGCTTCCAATCTATGCGTCTGCGGACGTTTCGTATATTAACTGATCCTCTGGAACTTCTTTTATCTAACTGCGAAACATCCGCCATCCCCCTGAAAAGGAAGGTGTAGATAACATTTTTTTAATGAACTTAATTAATTAATCAACGTTCAAATAATTAGGTTGATTGAGAAGCTATATATTTGATGACATATAGTAAATTGAGAGAGAGAGAGAGCAGTATATCTTATAGAAGGTGGGTCATGAAGCTTACTTGTTGAAGTTTGTAAACTCCAGGATAGATGGGTGTTTTAGGCCAGGTAAGGAAGACCTTTATAGCCAAATAGAAAGGAAGTATATAATAAACTTAGAAAATGGACAAATGATGATGAATCCAAAGATCCAAGGTGAAACTAATGTTATGTATGCATTCGAAGATGTCAATGACAAACTTAGAAAATGGAAAAATGATGAATCAAAGGTGAAACTAATGTTATATATGTATTCGACAATGTCAATAATCATCTGAAAGAATTAAGTTAAACTAAAGAAGTATATTTTTTAGTAAAAAAATTTATAAATTTAGTATTTTATACTTTAAATGATATTAAATGATAAAATATTAATTATTAAATGGAAGAGCCCATGCCCATTATTTAAAGGTCTCTCATAATCTGATAATTAATATTTTGTTGTTTGAATAGTATTTTTTAAAATTTTATTCCAATTTAAAATTGTTATGCCTCTTGCTGTTTAAAAAAAAAAAAAAAAAAAAAAAAAAAAAGGGGAGTGTGGGGTGGGGGTTTGTCATGGCTCTTGAGTCTTGATTGATGATGGACTTGGGCTCTATTCAATTTCAGCGGTATACTGGTCTAGGCTTTATGATGGATAAAACGCTAAAACTAGTAAAAGCATTAATGCCGAAAGGCCTGAATGATGAATAAAAGCTTTAAGCCCAAAGGCTTCATGCCCATGAGTAATATTCTATGACAGGCTGGCAGTGCAGAGTTTCATACATGAATAATTCTTCTTCATCTTAATATTTTGAGTGGGTCAAATTCATTTTTCAGAAGGAAAATGGTTGGAGGACAATTCTTTTATAATATTATATGTATTTATTATAATTTAATAATAAAATTTTTTATCTTAAAGACGTGTTAAAAATATAATTAATATATTTTTTCATAATTAATTTTTATTAAAAATGTAAATATTAACTTTTGTTTAATTAATTAATCAATTAAAATCATTTATATATCAATGATATTAAAATAAAAGTCAATTTTTATAATTTTTTATGTGAATTAATTATACAAAAGTACATTTATTACATTCAAAGGGTATAGGTGAGACAAATCTTTTAATAATGTGTAAAAGTTAAGAATAAAAATTTATAAAAATGAAAAAAAGTTGTACGTGTGTTATTAACCTTTCCAAATGCCATCCTTGTGATTTGGGTTTAGACTTTAAACTAAAGGAATATAATTTTGTCGTAGGGCTTCAAACATGAATAAAAAGAAGATAGAAACAAGGCAAAGGAAATGATGCAGAAACCAAACTATAGAGAACTTTGTTATGATTTCACCCATTCAATGAAACACATGAGATATTGATAAGAGGAACCACCTTTTGTGATGCTATTCATAGTCTTCTCCTTTAGTTCGAGAGCCCTCACTTTAAAATTCTCATCACCTAGCAGTTTTTCTACTTTGCTCTTAATCTCTTTCTTATTCAATAATTCCACTTTTATCTTTCTCAAATTTCAATCCCACCTTCCAAATCTCACAAATGTAGCTCTCGTTCAAGAATTGGTCACCGAAGTAGGGCTAGCAGAGGAAGGGGACCACGTTGCTTACCCCTTCCATGGTGGAATTCCAGTCACAGTGGCTCATGAAGCAGGCAATGGAAGGATGACCCAAAACTACTTGCTATGGAGCCCAACCCACCATCTTTCCACGATCAACCACTCTATTCTAAAACCCATTTGGGTATGCATCATCTTTCTCCTCTGTGATATCTAGTCTCACAACCCAAAGAAATGATCTATTGCAAAGTTCAGGACGCAATGCCAATTCTTGGAATTGGGTATGATTGAGAACCGTGAAGCTGCCAAATGCCACGTATATGATTGAGCATGGCGGCTGTTGGTCAAGCCATTTCAAACAGGATATCTATCATTTGGCCCAAAATTAACCTCCAAGTTTCCTTGTCTATCAACTCTTGAAAGCAGGCCTATAGGGAGGACCTTAGGAACCAAAGCAAATGCTTCGGCCTCAAGATCATACGTTAAGTTGCAAAGTAGCCACTTTGCTCTATTGATAGCTCTAATGTTCGTCAACATGATATCTAATAAAATCTTTTGGGTGGTGAAGTCCTTAATGGTTGTCCACATAAAATTGGAATGATTCATTGCAGGCGTCTTCGGCGATAACTGAACTATCTCATGTTTAAGTGGAGTACCCACTAATGAAATTTCACAATCAGTTTGAGGAATACTTAAGAATTATGTACATCATTTCATTCTTACTATTTTCGTCAACAATTCCATCATCAATTAGCTTGGGGATAGTAAAAATCAAGGCTAGAAGTAGGGTTGTTGCAGGCCAAATTGTTGCTCCCTTTATTCCCAACTCTACTGCAAGTTCAACTCCCCATTCTATTGTCATATCAACTAGAACACATGTAATCTCATCTTCATCTATTTGATTAATCTTCTCTATTAGTCGCTTGAGCTTACTGGGCATGAACTTCCAACATGCTTCAACAAACTTCCCTAAATGATTCTTGTTTTCCTCAGCACCAATCCCATCTGGAATTGAAACTAAACGAACTTGCCCTTCAAGTTCTTTGCCCAATGCATTTGTGATTCGTTTGTGGTTGAATTTGGTGTTCACAAATGTAATTTTGATGCCATGTTTTGATCAAGATTTGTGAGAGCTCCATGAGAGGAATGACATGGCCTTGGGCTGGATAAGATATAACCAAAATAGGTGGATTTCCCATCTGTTGATATGAAGCCTGTTTTCTAGACGCGACCTCATGCTTCATTTTATAGTGGTTTAAATTTCATTTTGGTCCCTCAACTTTTCACTTAGACACCAAAATTATCCTTAAATTTTCATTTTCTATGCCAAAACGGCCCTTCCATCAATTAAATGGACAGTTGACGAGTTAACTTGGTAGCTAATCAATTCTTTTTTTCTTAACTAATTAATGACATGTAAAAAACGAAAACATAGTTGGCCATCTTTTCTATGAATTGACATTTTTATTTAATTTAAAAATAATGATTTTTTTTTCATCCACATCATCTCTTCTTCCTCTTTTACTTTCTCTCTCCTTCACCTTTCTTTTTCCCTTACCTCTGCAAACCCAAATCTGGTTCCCTCTCAAACTTCATCTTTTTTCCTCCTTTCCTCCTCCCTGCTCATCCTTCTTCTTTCTTCTTCTTACTCTCTCTCTCTCTCTCTCTCTCTCTCTCTCTCCTCCCTTCTTCTTCCTCTCTCAAACCCAGATTTGGGTTTCATCACATAAATTAATGAAATAAAGAAGTTAGTGATAATAAGAAAGGCAATACAAATCATTCCATTATATTAAATATAAGCGACAAAGTCGTTTTCCTAACTCACCTAAGGTAAAGTAAAAAGAAAAAAGAAAAAACCCCAAAGATTTGATAAACTACTAACAAAGTTAATACCAAAAACTACAAAATTTGATGAATCTCCAACTTCAAATTCCAAACAAAAAGAACCCAAATTCAATCACTAAAAGTAGAGCTCGGGATCAAGCTTATCTCCTCAAATTCATAAACCCAAAGAAGGAAACACAGAAATAGAGCAAGATCTTCAAACACAGTGGAAGAATTTTACCAGTCTCAAGAACCAAAGTGAAATACAAGTTCTTTCTCATCTCAAAAGCCTTGAGACTCAAATACCTAGCAAGAATGAGCACCAATCCTGCTCCCCCACCACCAGCAAGTGATACCATGCTTCCTTTCCTAAGATACCCAACAATGCCCCCAACCACAAGAATCAAGCCGTACAGGATCGTGAAACAGAAATCGTGCATCTTTCTACCAAATGGGTAATTGTCGGGAAAATCTAAACTTGGGTTTCACAGATCAAATGGAAAATCAAGATCCATGTTGTTGTGATGGAGGATGGCGATGATTGGGGATGAGGAATGGTTC